GGGGGCATGGATGGGTGGATTTAAGCATAGGGGATAGGATGAATGGATGGTGGGTGAGGAATGGATGGATGGATTTATGGTGGGATGGATGGATGGAAGAATTGATGGCAGAATGGATGGATGGGCAAATGGATGGATGGATGGGGAATGAATGGGGGGATGGATGGATGGACAGATGGATGTATGATCGTTCAGAACAGTCTATTGTAATCTATTGCTCATACCTTTGATGCTATGATTGGTTGATTGGTCCAATGGTGATTCTATGGACAGACTTGTGATTGGCTCAGTCTGATCATTTGGTATCTCAGCACAGAGTAGTGACTGAAGCTGTAGATTGTAGATTGTGGATCTTTGTGGGTTATTTGATTCCATGTGATCCTATTATTCAGTGTAGAGGTGACAGATAAACTCCTCCGTCTCATGTGTACGTCCAGCTCCGCTCCGCATTGTTATTAAGAACAAAGTAAAATTTTGCTGGTCGGACGACCTTCACACGACCCTGAAATGACCGCTCAGTTCGGATCCCTTTGCTTCCTATATCTACTGAGATCGCTGAAGCTGCCGTACAGCTCCGGTGCTTCGAACATGTCGTGGTTCTTTGGAAGAATAGAGGGAGTGATCCCCATAATAAAGAACTTAATTTGAATCATTGATCTCCGCTCCGCTCCAGGCTATTGTTTTTTTTTCCACCCGAGATTGGATTCTGTAGCCGGTCTTCTGCTCTGGGATCCGTGAATAACCCGCACACCATAAAACATCCGCTGACACCTATTACAGAGCAATTTGTAGACATTCAGCTGTGTGAAGGAAGTTCTCTACACAGTTCAAATGACCATTTATTACACTGACCCTCAGGTCACACTCCTTCATTTCATAAGACACCCTGTACTGAAGAACTTGTCACAGCGTGAAAATGTTCCAGAGTGACCCAGCAAGAGCCTGCTATCTGCCAGCAAGGAAAGAACATGGCAGTGATTATCTCCATATTTTTAATATTATTATTTACCCACCATCCCTGTGCTGAGTTCCCGGGTCTGTACACCTGCTGTGCCCATGATGAGGGGCTCCCGCCATCCCTGTGCTGAGTTCCTGGGTCTGTACACCCGCTGTGCCTATTATGAGGGGCTCCCGCCATCCCTGTGCTGAGTTCCCGGGTCTGTACACCCGATGTGCCCATTTAGTTAATTGAAAGTTCATTGAAAAAAATCTTACAAACAGCAACAACGTTTATACAATAAATCCATAAAAAACAATAAATAAATTATACATATTTACAAATAAATCAATATTATTATACAAAACTAAAAAACAATAACAGAATACTTTGTACGAATAGATAAAGGGAAACAAACATGATAAACCCCACTAGAGAGCCAGAATAAGGAACATCACCATCACCATGCATGGAGCCTTTTGTCACAAATATATTTTATCCGAAAATCTAGGGGAGTGAAAGAAAAGCCGCACACTCCGAGATCATCAGGCAGCAGCCACAGAGTCCTGATATTCCTCCACGCCTTAATCCACGATGGAGATAAACAGCCAAAAAAAAGTCTACATTCACACCTCCCAACTATCACTGATTTGGAACTAAGCCCCTCTGTCAGTGGCGTCTCCGCCGGGTGACTGTCCCCTCCTCTCTCAGAATACTGCCGCGTGGGCGCGATGACGTCATCGCGCATGCGCAGTGACGTCTGGGCGGGGTGACACTCGGTTACGGCTCCGGGTGTCACCCAGCCTTGGGACGCCCCTGTCCTCTGTCCCTCTTTCCTCCTCGGCTGTCCCTCAGTTTGGTCTGATGTATAGATATCTATGAAAAAGATACTCTGTAACTACCAAATTGTTATTCTGCACTGAAACCTTCATCTTATCTCTTCTCTTCATTATCTTGTTTGCTATGTTGAAAAAGCCATTATAAAGGTAACGTATAGGTGAGAAAAAAACAAAAACAGTTATGGGTTTAACCCCTTCATTTCTGGCATGGAATTTCTTACAAGAGGGGGTGTGACAGGGGGTGTGCCCATTGCCTAAATACATTTTGCTGGAAGTTGTTCCCCTTTCTCATCTCAGAATGTTAGGAGGTATGTACATTGTTTCAATTGGTGTTGCAGCACTTGGTTTAACATGAATCAGTTTCACTTTAACTTTACTCAAAGGCGTAACTAGAACCCTTAGGGCCCCATGGCAAGAAACCATGAAGGGCCCCCCCTCCCCCCTTTTGTATGTTGCACGATATTAGCGCAACTCTTTATCAAATCCAAAAGTTAAAGGAGAACTATGAGGCGAGTGAAAATCACTCAGCCTCATAGTTCTAGCCGACCTGTGACAATGAAACTGTCACACGTCGGCTCAATAGATCGGGAGGTGAGCGAATACATACCGTCGCTCGCTCACTTCTCGATCATGTCACTGCAGAGAGCTGTGACCGTCACTCACGGCTCCCTGCAGGAAGGACAGGTGCTCCTTCTCTATTGGAGTACGCCACCCTATGCTCACCCACCCTGCACATCAGTGCGGGTGCGGATGTCCATACTCGTACGCTGACAGGATGGATCCTGCCTGCGTCCGAGCCGGGACACCCGCACCCCTACGGACGTGCACTTGGGGTGAGCGTAGGGGGGTGTACAGCCGTGTACTCCCATAGAGAAGGACGGGGGCTGCGTACTAATCACACGCAGCACCTGTCCTTCCCGGGAGCTGCCCGATACGCCCGTGCACGCAGCACGGAGCTGCACGTTGCCGGCCTTTTCTCGTGTCAATGAGGCCTAAACGAAGAATCTGTAGATAACGTCCAAGAGTTTTGATTGACTTTTCTTTTTCCTCCTCCAGCTCCCCGTCATGGGAGGGGCCTTCATGGATTCTCCCAACGACGAATTCGGAACAGAGTATTCCTTATTCAACTCCTCCGCCAATGTCCACGCGGCTTCCATCGCCCAGAGCCCCCCGGAAGAACCCGCGCGCTCCTCCAACGACGCCATCTTGCTATGGATTGCCATCATCGCCACCATCGGGAACATTGTGGTCGTTGGCGTGGTCTACGCCTTCACTTTCTAAGAAGAAGACGAGAATGTCAGACGCTTCAAGAGACAAACAATATTTTTTATTAATGTGCGTACCGCGTTCATTATTTAGACCCTGTCAGACCTAAAAAAGAAAATGATCATGAAACATTTAACGTGCGGGAACGACGGTTCATTGTGAAGTGTAAATAATCTAAAGACGCGCCGCGGTCACACTCTACGGAGACCAGGGGCCACCGACCGCTTCCTTGCCTACAGAGATGGAAAAGGCGGCTGTAATTCACATAGCAACACTGGAAGACTGGAAAATGACTGCAGCGTTCACTCTGGTTGTATTACGGCGCGAAGACTGATGACCGAGATGATGGAAAGAAATAATCTGCAGGAACCAGCCGCCAATGTACGTAGGGAAAAAAAATCAATGGCGATCCGAACGACGCCTTATTAATGAAAGATCTGCAAATCTCAGTAAGCTTGCAGACTGTTTTTTTCTTGTTTTAGTGTTGTCGGGCATTTGTTCTCCTGATCTAAGGTCACTTGTCACAACTTGCAACGGACATGCGGTTTAGAAACTCTCAAATTGCACAATCTTTGCCGATTTCTATCATCATCCTAAAGCCAACCTGTGCTTTGGCCATGCAAGTCAGATCAACAGATTGATTTGGCCTGCCGCCCTGCTCAGATGCTTATACTGACCTTCCTTTCCCTCCCCCCGCCGCTCTGTTTGGCCTCCCGGAGAAAGGAGAAGACTTTGAGATTGCCCCAGCACCATGCAACAGCACTGGAGCCTGAGCAGCCAATGATCATGCGCCAACACTGTGGTATGGTTGGAAACATAGGGAGTCACATGCTTCCAATAATTGAAAGTATTGGGGATTTCTCTCCACTCCCAGCGGCTGGATGGAGTGGCGGGGAAGCAAAGCCAAGACTTGAAGCTAGGGAGACGACTCTGCATTGGCAAAGCACAGGTAAGCTCTAAAGGGGACCTGTCAGAGAAACATAGAAGCTGACATGGCTATAGGGAAACTATAAGTGTTTTAAATCAAATGTATTTTTTATTCTTTTTTAATGCTTTTAAATTGTTGATTATGCTTTAAAATTGCTTTTAAAAGGTTGTTTTATATATGCTTATTATATATATATATATATATATTAGGGATGCACCGATACTGGTATTTTTTGGTATCGAGTAGGAGTACAGATATTTATCTTTCCGTACTCGCCGATACCGAGTACCGATACCGGTACTTCATACTTCTGGTAGCATTCCAGCCAATGAGCATGGAGTCGACTTCACAGTCAATCAGAAAGCCGGGAGGTGGGTCATTACCTCCTGCCCGGCTCCCTTATTGGCCGGGAAGCTGGCTTCATGCTGTTAGGCCGGCTCGATGCTGATTGACCGGGAAGCCAGCATCCCAGCCAATGAGCATGGAGTCGGCTTCCCGGTCAATCAGGTAGCCGGGAGGTGGGTCATTACCTCCTGCCCGGCTTCCTTATTGGCCTGAAAGCCAACTTCATGATGTTAGGCCTGCTCGATGCTGATTGGCCGGGAAGCCAGCCTCCCAGCCAATGAGTATGGAGTCGGCTTCCCGGTCAATCAGGTTGACATGGAGCCGGCTTCCCGGCCAATCAGGAAGCCGGGCCGTGAGTCATTACCCACAGCCCGACTTCCTGATTGGCCAGGAAGCTGGCTCCATGTTCCCTTGCAAATATAGATTTAGTACATGGCAAAGGATGCCCACAGCATAACGGGTTCACTAAAGTTGGGTTTACACCTTTCGGTCGATTACTAAACCCTCTGAGTCATTCAGTTTTTTGTGTAAATTTCACCTTGAGCTATTGAGCTCTGTAAAAAAAAAAACAGTATTTCTTTCAACTGTCTCACCTGCCAGATATTTGAGATTGTGTTCAGTCAGTCTTGGGATCCAGGCCGTACAACTAAGTTACTGACCTCCAGTGCATTTAAGCAGCACAGCTTGGTCAAGTACCAACCCCCCCCCCCCCCCCCCCCCTTACCGATTTTTGGCCCCTTGCGCTG